TCAAAACCTAAAGCCCAAATATTTGCACTAATTTTCCTATTGTTAGAGCTAAAAATAAACAATAAAAACACCAAGAAAGAAAATAACAATTTAACTGGGTGCTGATGGCACATACCTTTAGTTCAAGCACTTGGGAGGCAGAGGCAGGTGGATCACTATGAGTTCAAGCCCAGCCAGGTCTACAAATCAAGTTCTAGGGAAGCCACAGCAGTTACACTGAGAAACCCTGTCTTGAAAAACTAAAAAAGAAAAACACAATTTCCCTTCATTAGTTTCTTCAGCCACTGTTTATGTAAACCAGAGTTTGTAAAGACCTCCAACACACTTATGGACACAAACAGCACCAATAAGAGGAAGTCAGGTATCAGGTATAGGATTACTTTGAAAAGTAAAATGAAATTGTGACTTCCCTGCATAACAATACTACAACTGGAGCCACAAGATGGTTCCACAAATAAGAACACTTGCCAGCAAGACTGATAACCTGGGGGCTAGAGAGATGCTTCAGTGGTTAAGAATCTTGTTGCTTTTGCAAAGGACCAAGATTCCATTCCCAGCACCCATAATGATGACACAAAACCATCTTTAACTCTAGTGCCCAGGAATCCAATGACCTCTTCTGACCACCACAGGTACCAGGCACTTATGGGTTGTAGGGAGGGACGGTGGGGGAGGGGAGTTGATACACACCAAGTAAAGAAATCTTTAAAAAAAAAAAAAAAAAAGATGTGATGACATTTTGTTCATGATCTAACAAATAAAGCTTGCCTAAAAACCAGAGTACAAAGTAACCTCAGCCATAGAGGCCAGTCAGTGGTGGTACGCACCTTAAATTCCAGCACTCAGGAGAGAGGTAGATGGATCTCTGTTCAAGGCCATATTGAGCTACAAAAAAATTGATCCAGTCCTAAAAAGAAACAGAGCTCATACAAAGGTGATCCCAGCAACTGGGATCCCACACCTTTAATCACATCACTAGAGAGAAATATAAGTCAGGAGAAGACAGGAGCTGAATGAGTCTGAGCACCAGTGTAGGAGCACCAGTCTGAAGTTTTTGGAGGAGAACATTTAGTCTCAGGACAGGATTGCCCCAGCCTTGGTAGAGGTAAGAACTCTATAGTGGCTGGCTGCTTTGCTTTTCTGATCTCTGGCTTGAACACCAATATCTGTCTCTGGGTTTGTATTATTCCTACTACAGATCAATAACTCCCAGTTAGTCCCTGGAATTCACATGACAGAAGGAGATTACTATAGCCAGAGCTGGAGAAAGGATCACAGATACAGTGCTTACCTACCAAACAAGAGGATGGCACCCTGATCCTGAGTACTATAAAAAATAAAGATTACTCTGACTAAAGACTAAATGCATTTCCTGATTCTTTCTGCCAAAAGAGAATAACAGTGAATCTTCCAAATCACACACAAGCTGCTGTTTTGACAATTGTGCTCTGCTGTAATGAAACCACTAGTGGACTGCAACTCAGTGGTATAATACTTGTTCAGTATGAACAAGAACCTGGCACTCCATGACCAGCAGAACAACCAAAAGCCAGTATAGAGAAGCCCAGCCTCAGAAAATCAAAGAACAAAATTTCAATTTTAAATTTTAAAAAGAATCCCACACTAGATTACACCATGGAATTCAAGAGGAAAAGGAATAGACTAAGAAACTCCAATTCTTTGGAAAATAATATCTTTACAAGCAAATCATATCAGATACTTATGCAACTTTATGTGAATCACTTAATTATTTTTCCCAATTATCCTGCTACACTCCAGGTAAGTAAATATAACTCTACAAGAAGAAATGTTTCATAGTCATTTACTTATTTCCATGCATTGTAAGGTCTAATAAATAAAATTAAAAATTAAAATCCTAGGCTAGAGACATAACTCGGTAATAGAGCACTTGTCTATCATGTAGGAGACCTTGGGTTCAATCCTCAGCACCTCAACAGGAGAAAAAAACCATCAAACTCCAAAAAAGAAAAATGTTCTATGCAAAAAGGAAATATCAGGGCTAACAAGATGGCTCAGCAGGAAAAAGAATTTATCTCTAGATCCTCAGTGTGTTCCTCAGAACCCACCATGAAGGAAGAAAAGCAGCTCCCAAAAGTTGTCCTCTGGCCAAGAGATGGTGGCGTACACCTTTAATCCCAGCACTCGGGAGGCAGAGGCAGGTGAATATCTGTGAGTTCGAGACCAACCTGGTCTACAAAGCCAGTTCCAGGACAGCCAGGGCTATTAAACAGAGAAACCCTGTCTCAAAAAAAACAAACAAAAAAAAAGTCCTCTGACACATGCAGATTGGCACATACATGTCTGCACATGCTCACGTACATACACACAATTTAAGCAAAAAACCAAAAGGCACTTCACTTGTCATCCTACAATATTAAACCGAATAGTCTGTTCAAACAAATTTTCAGTAAAAGAGCATTAAAATAATCATTGTGTGTGTGTGTGTGTGTGTGCGCGCGCGCGCACACACACATACGCGTCCACATGTGCGCACATATATGTGCAGGTGAGCATGCAAGCACATATCCATGTGTTTGTACAGATGCTAAGACAATGTCAGGCGTCTTCCAGAATCACTCTCCACCTTATTTTTTGAGACTGCATCTCTCTTTAAACCTAGAGCTTGTGGATGCCACCAGACTAGCTGGGTAGCAAGCTGCAGGGATCTTCATGTCTCCTTCTGTGCTGGAATTACAGGTGCACATCACCATGTCCAGCTGTTACATGGGATATGGGGATCAAAGTCACATCCTCACACTTGCCTTTTACCAACTGAGCCATCTCCTCTACCATCAAATAACCATTTTTAAAATAAGCATCCAACTAAATTCAACACACTGAACTCTTACAAGGCATAATCAAGAGATAGCTCGGTGGTTAAGAACAAAAAACCCTTTAAAAAAATGTGCAATAGCTAACTGAAATAAAATCTAAAATGTAACTTATCCAAAAGCTTCTCACTAGCTCTGTAATTGTACAAAGCCCACAGGATTTTATTCCTCTCCATCAAGCTTACACTGAAGTCTTCCTTAGTCATCATTTTTTAGAAGAATTTCTCTATCAAAATATATATGGTGCTCTCTCTCCAATCACAAGCTATCTGAAAGTAAAGTAACAAAAGGAGTCTGAGATATAAAAAATCTGAGAATTTTTTATTTTAGAAATAAGCTCCTATGAGAATGCCATAATAATGAACCAGGCACAGCAGGCAATCCCAAGCAAATATGTTTTTATACTGATAGGATTCTGGACCCAGCTCAATCAGATCAAACATTTAAAATGGACCAAAATCCCCAGACTCAAACTAAAATACTGAAATGTATTTAAATGCTATAAAATCTAATATGCCAGTCTTCTTCACAAATGAAAGATGTCAAATCTCTGGGAGCTACGAAGAAGATAATGAATGCACTATTTAATTAGGAACCCACTGCTGGCTGACTATAATCTATTAATTAGCATTCTCTGTCTCTGTATCTCACTTTACTGTCTTTAAAATTGAACCCTTTGTTTTTTGGACCGAAGTTACACAATTTTAGAACTCTGTGGTAATTACAGTGGTTCGGGAAGAATGTCTCTGCCAGCACTGGTGTGCACTGGTGTTTAATTAGGGCACAGGGTGGACCCAGATAAGGCGGTGCTCACCCTCCTAGCACATAATGGTTTTCTTGGCATGAAAAACCTGTGTAGACTGTTCCTTTTCCAGAAAAATGGTAAGTACCCATAATTGTCTTCTCAAAAGATTAAATATTTTGCCTTTGAATGTAGCGTGGTAATTGGAAAAAGGGTACTGCTCTGGATTTCTCTCCCAACCCCCATACTCTAAAGCATAGACATAAGAAAACATATGCCAATAACTTTTTCCCTCAATAAATTAGACATTTCCAAGTCACTTGACTATAAGACTACCTTACTGGCCGTTATATTTTCAGCAAGGTACATTGGTGAGTAGGCAATTCAATAATAGTATCTTTGGTTAACACCAAGTCTACTTTAAATTTATATACTGAGAGAGAGAGAGACTGAAAGACATGGAATCTATTCTTAAAAAGGCTGGTGGTCAAGTAAGCTAACATAAATCTAAGCATTTAGGGAGTGGAGGCAGAAGAGCTCCAAGCCTACATACTGAAGTGGGGGAGGAGTGCTGAATTGACTTAATTATTTAAAAATATATTGAACCTTTTGTTCATTTACTTTGGTGAACCAGTGAATCTTTTTATTGTGGTTACCTACAAATGTATGTGTGAGGGGTTACTTACAGGGATAGAGATGACTCAAATGTAACTATGTCACCAAAACGTTCACTCCAATACAGATGATGACTCATGAGATTGTAACCCTGAAGCACTCAGAACAATCTGAAGGCAGCAAGACAGGTCCAAGAATCTCCTTCCACATGCTAGGAAACTGCTCTTCCACTGAACATATAGCTGTTCTATATTTGTTTGGTTTTAATTTTGAAACAAGGTCTCACTATATAGCCCCAAGTTAGCCCTGAAATCACTATGTAGCCAAGGCAGTACTCAAAAAAATTTTATGATTTTTTTGGTTTGGTTTTGTTGTTGTTTGTTTTGTTTTGTTTTGTTTTGAGACAGACTTTCTCTGTGTAGCTCTGGCTATCCTGGAACTCACTCTGTGTCCCAGCCTGGTCTCAAACTCAGAGATACAACTGCCTCTGACGCTTGAGTGCTGGAATTAAAGGTGTGAGCCACCATTGCTCAGTTTAGGATTCATTTGTTTGTTTGTTTGTTTTAATTTATGTGTGTGAGTGTTTTGTTTGAACATACCTGTGGATCATGTACAGGACCAACTCTAGAAAAGACTAAGAAAGTAGAAACAGAATTCTAAAGTACAAAGGATAAATAAAAAATAAAGGAACAAAGATGGGAGAAATCTAAGAGAGGATGGAAAAGGAACGCCTCATTTTATTTATATACATGGATTCAGCCCAGAAAGATAAATGTACAAATGAAACTAACCTGGTTTTCTTCCTGCACAACTCGGTACTGCTCCTTCCAAATGGTGATTTTGGAAGCTTCGTCTTTTCTCAAGGCTCGCTCTTTCTTCAGCTCTGGGCTCCAAAAGGTCTTGATGCTATTCATCGAAGAACTTAATTTGCTTTCCTTTACTTCCACATCCTTCCTCAAGAGATCATTTTCTCTTAATACTTCCTTTAGCTGTGTCTGCAGATCCATGATGGTGTTATCTCTTGCCTGACGAAGAGAGTGAGGTACAGTGGATGCCATACTAACAGGAGGGAGGTGATGTTCTCCAAATGCTATGGTATCGCTAGCAACCCCACTGCTTGCTATATTGGGGCTACTGCCCATAGCAGTCATCCTAACACCATACGGCAGGCGCCCCCCAGAACGGCCAAGTGTCATGGTGCTTTTAGGTGTTTCTGAACCCACGTTTTCATGGTCACTTAGGTACATAGGGCCAGATGTAGCATAGGCAGCATTTAAGGACTGTATGTTCTCCATTGAAAGGGTTTTCCCACTGCCACCTCCAACACTGTTTCCAGAACTCCCTCCTGTACTATTTGTTCGCCTATGACCTAAGCGAGGGGACCGTGGAAGCCGAGGTGATCGCCCAGGACTCTGGCTGCTTGGTTCCACTTTCCCTACTGATCGAGCACTTCCATACATGGTTGCAGAATGAACTTAGGCGCCAGAAATGTCGTAAAGCAGAAAATTCCAATGTGATTCCGTGAGGTTTCTCTATGTCTATAAAGTCAGCTTAAGGCTATCAGAAATAGCAGGTCACCAGCTGTCCAATCTTGAAGAAATATCTTATGCCATATCTGTAATGAAAAGATCACAATTAAACCCCCAATAATAAATATTTCCCACCTCAGAAATTTTCTATTTCCTTTATTTGTGGAAAAATCTCCTTTCATTAAATATTATCACAGCTTTAAAATCAGATGACCCATAATGTAATGTTTTCTAACTGAAAATGGGAGAGTATCAATTGATAATGACAAAGGGACACATCTGAACAACGGAACTCAGACTATCATTCACATAAAATCTAAGTATAAATATCAATACTTGGATACAATATCAGAACTAACAGAAGAACTCAATATATCAGTCAGACATAAGATCAATACATAAATATTAGTACTTCAACACACTATCAAAAGTAATAACACCTAAACATACTAGTCCAATACATAAAATGGATGTTGTAGCATACACATGCCAGTAATTTCAGCACAAGAGGAAAAAAAGAGCAGGCTCAAGGTCATCCTCACTACAAAGTTGAGTTTGAAGCCTTATTAACAGCAACAACGCTATAAAAAGTACCTTAAACATAACAAAAATCTTCAAGCATCTAAAACTCTATGGGAAGACATGAATACCTCAAGAATACGTAAATAAATAAAGGTTAGCCATGCTCCCATATGAGAAGACAAATGCTGTGATGGGTGAGTTCTTCCCCCAGCTCATTAGCACAGCATAATTCAAAAATGCTGATTCTAACGTTCAGATGGAGGACTAAAAGTACAAGAGTAGCCAAACTAGCCAGGCACATTGAGCAGAGAAGGCAGAGGCAGTAGAATCACCACACATTTGAAGTCCATGTGGTTTATAAGCCAAAACAGCAGCCAAGGCCACATACTGAAACCAGTCTCAAAACACAAAAGGCCACAAGAGAGCTTCATGGGTAAAGGCGCTTGCCACATGTGGTGGCTTGAATGAGAATGGTCCCCACAAGCTCCTGTGCTTGTAGAGCCATAGGTTGATGTAAGTTATTTTCTTCAATTACTCTCCTACTTAAACCCAGAGCTCAGTGATTTGGCTAGTGTAGCTAAGCAGTCTATTCCAGAGATTGTCTGCCTCTGTCTCCAGAGTTCCGGCCACTACCTGGATGCTGAGAATCCAAACACTGGTCCTCATAGTTGCATAACAAGCACTCTTACCTGCTAAGCCATTTTGCTAGTACCTTTTGAAAATTTTGTAATTTGACTGTGTAGTTCTCAAGCGTGAACTTTGGAGATGACGCTGTGTATCAATATCAAAAGTATAGCAAATACCTGGGCCAATAAAGGTACTTTCCACCAAGCCCAACAATTGGAGTTATCCCACAGATATGGTGGAAAGAAAGGAAGAAAGAAAAAGAGAGAGAGAGAGAGAGAGAGAGAAACTGAGGACTTACGGCCAGTATGGGTACAAGACAGGACCTTGACTAACAAAATAAGAAAGGACCTGTATTATTTTTATGTTTTTTTTTTAAAGTCTCACTATAAACTAAAACATTAAATAAGGACCATTCAGCACTAATTTTCATGGTAATCAATGGCCAATGACAGAGGCCTGAACACTGATTGCTGTAGCACAAATAATAAGAACTCAGAGACAGATATTGGGATTAAAGCTGAAGGTCAGAGAAGCTGAGCAGCCAGCCACTAGAGAGTTCTCACCTCTACCAATGCTCACTCAGACCAAAGGGCCATCCTGTCCTCAGACTGCATCTCCAAACTGCACTGTCCTCAGACTGCCCCTGTCTGCACTGCTGTACAGACTCTGAGACCTCAGACTGAATACACTCTGAGACCCCCTGCTCCTGTCTTATGTTCCTCTCTAGTGCTGGGATTAAAGGCATGCACCACCACTGCCTAGCTTCTATGGCTAACTAGTGTGGCTGCTGGGATTAAAGGTGTGTGCCACCACTGCCTGGCCTCTATGGCCGTGACTAGCTTTGCATTCTGATCTTCAGGCAAGCTTTATTAGATCATAAATAAATATCACCACAGATTGCTAGTATTTCTATGAACAGCAGGCTTTAAAAAAGAGAAAAGAAATTTAAACATTAAAGAAAGAATACATCTTTGTTCCACCTTTTGCATGTAAAACTAGGTTTGTTCAAACCATGTGCCTGATTATACAAGCTTACCCTGGCTCTTCAGTGTCTACTGGAAACTAGGAATTACAGTACACTGGCTAAAGCAGTACTGCCACAAGGGCATAGCAACTTGAAAGAGGGTCTCTGGTAAGAACAGCAAAATATGGAGCTAAAGGTGCAATCATATTTCCTGCTGTTATCACTTCTCGCTTTTACAGAAGGGTTAATAACTCAGTTGCAAATCAGGTGGATTACAGGTTTTAATAACTCTTATCAGTTAATCAAGTTAATTGTAAGTTCTATCAACATTCTCACCATGACAAATACCTTGTCAAGCAGATACTTAGGAGTAAACAGTGGTGTTAATCAGGGCCCCAGACTTCTATCAGCAATCTGCTACTCAGCTCAAGGGAGACAAGGTCTAGGTTGTGGAGCCTCCTGTAATGCTAGGCCTCACTTATGCCATGATCTTTTAGAACGCTAAGTCATCCAGTTGTAACTTTAGTTATCTTGCATTTTTATACCAACTCTCACCCTACATAAAATAAACCATGAACATGGTATAGTATGATAAAGGCATGTCATCTCAGCTACTTGGTTGCATAGAGAAGTGATGAGAGATGTTCTTGCCATTTTCCCATCTCAGAGAGAACCATTCATCTTTATCTCTGTTAATACCTAACACACTACCCACAAAGAGTATGGTCAAGCCTAACCCTGATAAGATGAGCCCTTTTTGATTTAGGCAGTTAATCACTTATGACAGCCAAAGTGCTGGTCCTCTATACTTTGTTTCACTCATCAAAGGGTAACAAAAAAAAAAACAAAATGTGTAATTGTCAGCTTGGGGACATTCTATTGGTAAGGATCTAGTCTAGGTTACTGCTCAAAGGGGTAGTTGGTTGTACTCTTTTACTCTTTGGGGGGGCTCCTGCCACCCAGCCCCCAAATAAATCAGAGTCTTATTCTTCTTTATGAACACCTGGCCTTAGCTTGGCTTGTTTCTTGCCAGCTTTTCTTAACTTAAATTGTCCTATCTTTTGCCTCTGGGCTTTTAATTCTATTTCTGTATACCTTTCTTTGCTTCTTACCCATGTTTCGCCGTGTAGCTAGGTGGCTGTCCCCTTGAGTCCTCCCCTCCTTCTTTCATTTCTAGCTCTCCCAGATTTCCCCTCCTATTTATCCTCTCTGCATGCCAGCCCTGCCTATCACTTCTCCTTCCTTTGACCACTCAGTTTTTTATTAAACCAATCAGGTGTTTTAGACAGGCAATGACACAGTTTCACAGAGTTAAACAAATTCAACATAAAAAAATTAACACATCTTTGCATCATTAAACAAATGTTCCACAGCATAAACAAATGTAACACATCTTAAAATAATATTCTACAACACAGTAGGATTTTTGTCTTTTTCCTGGAGACAAGATCTCATATAGTCCAATCTGCTGTTTAATTCCTGATCATCCTGTCTCCACCTCCTTAGTGCTGGGATTATAGCATGTTCCATCATGCGTGTATGAATGCAGGCATAATCATGCCTTAACCCACATGCTTCACAAATCGGAGAAAAACCTCAAGTGTCTGCTCACCTCCCACCTTATCTTATAACTACCCAGTGCTGTCAGCACCCCTCTTTTTTTTTTTTTTTTAAAGGCAACATGGGTTCATATAGCCCAGGCTAGCCTTGAACTTGATATACAGCTGTGAATAACCTGGAATTCTTCCAGCCTCTACTATGAGTTCTAGGGTGTCAGCCTCACACCCTCATGTCCAATTAATAAGGTGCTGAGCATCTAACACAGGGCCTCAGGCATGGTAGGCAAGCACTCTACCATTGAGCTATATCCACAGCCATGTATGTTTATTTACTATGCTACTGATTGATCCCAGAGCATCAAGCATACTAGTCAAGCAATAAAATACTGAGCTGTCTATACCTAGGGCCTTCAATACAGTTCTATTTTGTTTTCTTTACACAGGATTTCTCTGTGTAGTCCTGACTGTCCTGGAACTCACTCTGTAGACCATGTTGGCCTTGAACTCTTATAAATCAATACACCTCTGCCTCTCTAGTGCTGGGATTAAAGGTGTGCACACCCTCCCCACTTCAATACAGTTCTTAATCTGACAAGATGATTCCAACTTTGAAATGAAAATCCAACAGTCCTATGGCCAAAAAAGAAATGCAATAACTAAGTCAAAATTCAAATACCATTTTTGTAGTATATGTTGATGATTTTAAAAGTTTGTACAGGTATACAACCATCACAATGTTTAAAACACTTTAACACACACACACACACACAAAGCTTATGTCAGGCATGGTGGCAACCACCTATAAACCCAGCACTCAGGATGCTCAGGCAAGAGGATATGAAGTTTGAGGCCATCTTGGGCTACACACTGAGTTCCAGGCCAGCCTGGGCTCCAAAGCAAGTAGGAAAAGGTCCTCTATTCATTTTCAGTTATTCCTTTGTCTTATCCCTTGACCCAGCTACAACTGATTTGACTGACTTTCCTGTAAACTTGTCATACATAAAATTATAAACCAGTTATTCCTTCATTTAGCATAACATTTTAGGCTATTTATAATGCTAAATTTATTAACAGTTTGTTCATTTTAATTGTTTATCAGCTCACCTGCTCCCAAATTTTGCTATTGTAATTAATGTGGCTGTGAATATTCACACAGGAATCTGTGAACATATTTCCATTTCCTCCTTTGTAGACAATTATAAAAGCTAAGGGCATACAGTAAATACATTTGACTTGTTTTTATTGTATCTGCAGCATTTAATAGCGCTGCCAGCAATGCACAGGAATTCCAGCCCCCCCCCACACACACACACACCTTCACCTGCACTACCCCATTCTGCTGATGTTAGCGATTCTCTGAGGTTGTAGGTGGTTATCTCACTGTGGTGTCTCCTACTAATGACTAATGGTGGTG